AACGTATTGAATCTATTCTTGAGATGGTCTCTAAATTAAAGTGGCATATACTCGGCCATACTTTGGCTCTTGTGGACTTGTTCTAATTTTCTTCAGCTACAACTTGAACTTGCATATGGGCAACTGATGGTCTGTTCCACAGTTGGCCCCTGGCCTTGTTCTGACTGATGATACTGAGCTTTTCCATCATCTCTTTCCACAGATGTAGTCAATTTAATTCCTGTGTATTCCATCTGGTGAAGTCCACATGTATAGTTGCCATTTACATTGTTGAAAAAAGGTATTGCAAGAAAGAAGTTGCTGGTTTTGCAAGATTCTATCATGCGATCTCCAGTGTCATCTTTCACCAAGGCCATATTTTCCAACGATCTTTCTTGTTTCCAACTTTCACGTTCCAATCACCATTAATTATCAATGCATCCTGACTACACGTTTGATCAAGTTTCGACTGCAGAACTTGGTAAAATCTCTAAATTTTTCATCTTTGACCTTAGTGTCTGGTGCATAAATCTGAATAATAGTCGTACTAACTGGTCTTCCCTGTAATTGTACGGGTATTATCCTACCACTGACAGCACCGTACTTCAAGATAGATCTTGAAATGTTCTTTTTGACAATGAATGCAACATCAGTCCTCTTCAAGTTGTCATTCCTGGCACAGCAGACTGATTCAAAATGGCCAATACCAGTTCATTTCACCTCACTAATGCCCTGGTGGTACAGTGCTTAAGAGCTCAGCTGTTAACTAAAAGGTTGGCAGTTCAAATCCACCAACCGCTCCTTGGAAGCCCTATGAGGCACTTCTACTCTGTCCTATAGGGTCGCTATGAGTCAGATTTGATTCAATGGCAATGAGTAGGTAGTAGTAATGCCTAGGGTATCAATGTTTAGGCATTCCATTTCATTTCTGATGATTTCCAGTTTTTGTAGATTAAAACTTCGTACATTCCATATTTCGATTATTAATGGATGTTTGCAGCTGTTTCTTCTCACTTTGAGTCATGCACATCAGCAAATGAAGGTTCTGAAAGCTTGACTCCATCCACATAATTAAGGTCGACTCTACTATAGTAGAGGAGGCAGCTCTGCTCTAGTCATCTTTTTAGTGCCTTCCAACCTGAGGGGGTCATCTTCCGGCACTACAACAGAGTGTTCCGCTGCTATTCATAAGGTTTTCACTAATTCTTTTCAGAAGTAGATGGCTAGGTCCTTCTTTCTAGTCTATGATAGTCTGGAAGCTCAGCTGAAACCTGTCCGCCGTGGATGAGGCTGCTGGTATTTGAATACCGGTGGCATAGCTTCTAGCATCACAGCAACATGCAAGCCCCCACAGTATAACAAACCGACAGACCCAGTGGGATTTTAATAGTTACCTCAAAATTTGCATGTCCACAACTAAATTTTTATTAACTCCGCTGTAATTTCTTTAATTTTCTGGCTCTCAATAAATAGAACCTTCATTTATCCAGTTGCTAGAGACAAAAATCCTTGCAACCATGCTTGATTCTCTTTTTTCACACACTCTATATCCAATCTGACAGGAAATTCTCTTGATTCCATCTTCAAGATATAAACATACAACAAGACAAATAATTCAATCAAAAACTGGGCAAAGGACATGAACAGACACTTCACCATAAAAGATATTCAAATGGCCAAAGGCACATGAAAAGATGCTCAACATCACTGGCCAACAGAAAATGCAAATCAAAACCACAAGGAGATACCATTTCACTCCTACTGGGATGGTCAAGATAAAAAAAGAAAATAACAACTGCTGGAGGCGACGTAGAGAAATTGGAACCCTGATCCTTTGCCGGTTATGATTATGCGATTCAAAATGGCCAATACCAGTTTATTTCAGCTCACGAATGCCTAGGATATCAATGTTTATGCACCATTTCATTTTTGATGACTTCCAACATTCTGAGATTCATACTTCATACATTCCACGTACTGATTATTAATGCATGTTTGCAGCTGTTTCTTCTCATTTTGAGTCTTGTCACATCAAAATATGAAGGTCCCAAAAGCTTGACTTCATCCACGTTATTATGATTGACTCTACTTTGGGGAGGTGGCTCTTCCCCAGTGGTATTTTGAGTACCTTCCAACCTGAGGGGCGCATCTGACATGTCTGTCAGTTTGTTGTACTGTGGTGGCTTATGTGTTGCTGTGATACTGAACACTTTGCCGTGGTATTTCAGATACCAGCAAGGTCACCCTTGGTGGACAGGTTTCAGCAGAGCTTCCAGACTAAGACTAGGAAGAAAGACCTGGCAGTCTATTTCTGAAAAAAGCTGCCAGTGAAAACTATGACTAGCAGAAAAACACTGTATGTATATGTAGGTGCATGCATATGTATATGCATCTGTGGCTATGTGCACATATTTTCGTGTATATATAATAAAGCACATAGGAGGCACAGTTACAGGTACTTCCTAGACATAACCAAACACCTGATGGGATTGGATTTCTGAGTTTAAGGATTAGGACCATGGTCTCTTAGGACATCTAAGCCAATTGGCATAATGTAGTTTCTAAAGTTATATTCTACATCCTAGTTTGGTGAGTAGTGTTTGGGGTCTTAAAAGCTTTCGAGTAGCCATCTAATATACAACTATTGGTCTGTACTCGTCCAGACCAAAAGAGAAAGAAGAAAACCAAAGGCTCACTGAAGAAACTCATCTACAGGACAAATAGCGTACACAAACCACAGCCTCATCTACCCTGAGACCAGAAAAACTAGATGGTGCCCGGCTACTGGCTATTCTAATCAAGGCCACAATAGATGGATCCTGATGGAATGGGAGAAAAATGTGTTAACAGAACCTCAAATTCCTTAAGAACAACAACAAAAAAAAACCTACTGGATTGGTTGAAACTGGAGGATTTCCCAAGACTACTGTCCTGAGATACTCCTCAAACCCTGAACTGAAACTGACCCCTGGGGTCAGCTTGTAGCTAAATAACAAACTGGCTCAAAAAACAATGAATATCACCTGTAAGTACTGTGCTCCTTTAAAAAAAAAGCTATATGAGACTGTGATGGTTAAGGCTGCGTGTCAACTTGGCTACACCATGATACTCTGTGATTTGGCAATTATGATGTAGTTTGGCAGCTTTGTAATGATGTAATCACCTCCATAATGAGATCTGATATAATGTGATCACCTCCATGATGAGATCTGTTATCAGCAGCCAATCGGTTAAAAGGGATTTTCCTCGAGGGTGTAGACTGCATCCAATACAGGTGGACTTTCTGGCAAGGCTCACTGGCTTTTGCTCACTCTGGATTCTGCAGCTGGCTCCTGTTCATCTGACCTCCAATTCTTGGGACTTGAGCTAGTAGCTTACCTATCGTTTTACCTGCTTATCTTGGGATTCATCAGCCTTCACAGCCTGTGAGCCAGAGGCCTGCTATGTGACTTTCTGATCTTGGATTCACCAGCACCTGCGGCTACATGAGTCAGGAGAAGCCTTTAGCCTGACTCATGGACTTGGGACTTTCCAGCCTCTACAACCATGTGAGCCATTTCCTTTACAGAAACCTCTCTTTATATATATTTATATGCTGCACTGGTTTTGCTTCTCTACAGAACTCAGCCTAAGACAGAGACCATGAGAATGTAAGGGGGCAGGGAAACTAGATTAATGGAAACAGAACAACCAGAACAGAAATGAGAATGTTCACGCATTGTGAAGAATGTAACCAATGTCACTGAACAACCTGTGTAGAAATTGTTGAATGGGAACTTAAACTGCTGTGTAATCCTTCACTGAAAACACAATAGAGTATTATTTAAAATAAAAAAAAGGTTGTACAAAGCTACCACTTCTCATCACCTCCAGCTTAGCCTTAGCAACTACCCTCTCTCTTCTGGAGTATTTAATAGTTTTCTAACTGGTATTCCTTCTTTGTTCATGTCCAGCCACCACCCACTCACCACAGTATATACCGCATAGAATTCAGAGATCCTTTTAAACTGTAAATCACATCTGATGACTTGATTATCTGATTCACATTTACTCACAAGGGATGAAGTCTCACATCACTCAAAATAAAATTAATGTATCTACCACTGCCCCTGCTACTTATTACGGTATCATCTCCTACCAATCTCCTCACCCATTTGCCTGCAGCCACACTAGCCTCCTGGCCATTTTTCAAACACTCCAAGAACATGCCTGTATAAGAAGTTCAGCAACCGATGTTCCTTCTACTCAAATGCACATAGTTTACTCTCTATTAAAGTCTCAGCTCTAACTGTGACCTCATCAGAGAGGCTTTGTCTGACTTCCTTGCCAAAAATAGCACATGCTAATCATGGGACAGTTCTACTCTGTCCTATAGGGTCGCTATGAGATGGAATCAACTAGATGGCAACAGGCTTGGTTTTTGTTTTTTTTTTTATCTTCTCCATACCCCTCTCCCCTGCTTTAACTTTCTTTACAGCACTTACCATCACCCAACAGTTTGTGTGTATGGTATATGCATGTGTGTATTGTGTGTGCTGTGTGTTTTGTCCCTCGCTGTAATATACACTCTTACGATAACAGGGACATTATTCTGTTAATTACCTGAAACATTATTGGGTCACAGTATTCATTATATATTTATTCAATGAATACATGAAAGTATTATATGAATAAATATCAGCAAACAAATGGCATCCAAAAACAATGGAGTGAAGGTAAACAATTTTAAAAGCTAGAGAAAGAAAAACCAACCAAGAAAAAACATCTAAAATGAAGCTGACTAGATTTGGATTATGGGTACAGGTAAATTAAAATTTCAAATAAAAAAACAAAGCATTTATGAGTGACAGTGACATGGAGGAATAATTCAGGTAACTGAGGGACGTGAGTCAAGTGTGCTTGGTCACTTCCAAAGGTCTGTGGCTCAAAAAAGAAATTTCTAAAAAATATTCCAAAGGTGGCAAACCCTAAACCGGTGAGCTAAGATCTAATTTCCTCTGTCTGCAAACTCACTAACTTACCTGGGTGGCGCAGGCTTGAGAATCCCTCCTCTAATATCCAGGGCTCTTCTCCTTGCTCTATCTTGAAGATCACCTCTGGCTTAGTCACACAATACCCTGTTGACAGAAAATAATACAGGCATGGGTTAAACACCTTGTCTTCAGGGACTCTGAACAAATAATGGAGAAGAAAAACACAGAGTCAGGAGCTTCCAAAACAAAGTGCCCAAATGAACCAACTGCTGGAGAGGTAAGTACACAGCATTTTTTTTATTGTGGCCAAAAGGGTTCAGTCAATTCAGAACCCTGAATCTCAAGCTTCAAATCAAAAAATTCCACAGGGAGCTCACATGTTTCAGCAACTAAGAAATGCATGCTACTGAGAGTCACATGGGAAAAAAAATCCTTACCTACTGAGACAATGTGGCTGTAATTTTCCAGGATCACATCTCTGTACAGTATCTTCTGGGCAGGGTCCAGTAGATACCACTCTTCCTGGGTGAAGTCCACACATACATCCTTGAACGACACTTGTTCCTGTAACAGCATATTCCTTTTCTATATGAAGTACTCAGAACTAGATGATACGGAAAAGATTTAACAGAACTAATCTGAGAGTTTATTGAAAAATGCTGCATAGGATGCCTACTATATACCTTGCTTTGTTTTATACTTTGTAGGATAACACAACTTCAAAAACTGATGGCGATTTTTTTTTTTGGTTTATTTCTCCTTGTGTGAGTTTGCTACTTGTGTCTTTTTAAGGAATTGGTTCATTTCATGTATCAATTTTTTTGAGCATAGTATTGTTTATAATATTTTCTTTTCATCCTCTTAATGCCCACGAGATCAGTAATGTCAACCTTTCTTTCATTTCTGAGACTTAATTTTTTTTGTTTCTTGGTTAGCTTGTCTACAGGCTCATTAATTTTATTGATCTTTTCAAAGGAATAGCTTTAGGTTTTATGGATTTTTCTCTATTTTTTTCCCGTTTTCAATTTTACTGATTTATGTCCTAATTTTTTAAAAAATTATTTCCTTTCTTCTGCTTGCTTTAAGCCAAATTTGCTCTACCCTCCCCACCTCCCCCACTTTACTGAGAGCTTAGGTTACCGATTTTTAAATCTTTCTTTTATAATATGTGCCTTTGATGCCATACAGTTCCCCTTTCACTGCATCGCACAAATTTTGATGAAGGGCAGTTTCATTTTTATTTTGTATACTGTTTAATTTTCAAATATTTGTGAGTTTCAACCTATCTCTTACTTACTGATTTCTATTCCACTGTGGTCTGAGAACACATTTTTTATAATTTCTATTGTTTTAAGTTTGTTAGGTGTCTTCTATGGCCCAGAATGTGGTCCATCTTGGTGAATGTTTCACTTGAGCTTAAATAGAATGTAAATTCTTAAGTTATGGATGGAGTTATTCTGTAAAGTCAGTTAGATCAAGTTGAGTGATCCTGCTACTGTTCAGGTCATCTATATCCTGACAGATTTTCTGCCTGCTGGATCTATCAAGTACTGACCGAGGAATGCTGAAATCTGCAACTGGTTGTGGATTTGTCCATTTCTCCTTCCAATTACATTAGTTTTTGCCTCAAGTATTTTGGCAGTCTTTTATAAGGTGCACATCCATTTTGGATTGTTACGTCTTCTTTGTCCAGTATGATTCTGAATGATGTAATGGGTGGTCAATTATAGATGTTGTATTTTTCAGCTCTAGAATGCCTATTTTATGTATGACAGGTGTGTACGTGTACACGTGTTAGAGGCCCCCAAGACCACCCCCAGGTTCCGTGATTCGCTAGGAGGGCTCAAAGAACTCAATGTTCAGTCATTCTCGTGACTATGATTTACTACAGAGAAAGGACACAAAACAAAGTCAACAAAGGGAAAAGGTGCAAAAGTATAGATCCAGAGGAAACTAGGCACAAGCTTCCAAGAGGATATGCTTAGTTCCTCCAGCAATGAGCTATGACAACATGTGTGAAACGTTTACCAGGGAAATTCATTAGAGATCAGTGTCTAGGGTATTTGTTGGGGGCTGTTCACATAAGCACCCTCTGCTTAACATGTACCAAAGTTCCAAACTATCCAGACTCAAAGTAGGTGCTTCGCATAAACCATATTATTTGCACCAACAGTTTAGGTGCAGTAAGTCATTCTTATCAGTATAACCGTGAGAACCCTCCTGAAATCCAGGTTCCCAGATGCGAGCCAAGGGTCAACCTTGTAGCAGGCCTTTTGAAGGATAGTGCTCTCAACTTGAAAAATAAAAACACTACGATAAACATACAGCTAACATCATACTTAATGGTGAAAAACTTGATTCTTTCCCCTGAAGATCAGGAATAACACAAGGATACCCCTCTTACTATCCCTACTCAAGATTGTACTGGAAGTTCTAGCTAGTACAATAAGATAAGAAAAAGAAATAAAAGATACACAATTCAAAAGGCAGAAATACAACTGTCTTTATTCAAAGATGACATGATTGTAGAAAACCCCAAAGAATTTACAAAAAACAAACCTTCTGGAGCTATTAAGCAATTACAGCAAGGTCGCAGGATACAAAGTAAACGTGAAAAAGTCAAATGCTTCCTATATACCAGAATAAATTGAATTATTAATAACTGGAATTTCAATATTTAAAATAAAAAAAAAGTATCATTTACTTTAGCACCAAACAAGAAAAAAAAAAAAAAAGTACTTAGGTATAAATTACACGATATATACTGGAATATGCAGAAAACCACAAAACACTGATGGAAGAAGGTCTAAATAAATGTAGAGATATTCCGTATTCAATGACTGGAAGACTTAATATTGTTATGATATAATTCTTACCAACTAAAAACTATGAAGCCAATATAATCCCAATCAAAATTCCAGCTAATTATTTTGTAGATATCAACAAAATGACTCTAAAATTGATATGGAAAGGGAAAGGACCTAATATGTCAACATAACACAGAAGAACAAAGTTGGAGGATTCATACCACCTGATTTCAAGACTTTCTCTAAAGCTGTAAGTAATCCAGACAGCATGTTATTAATGGAAGAACAGACATATAAATCAATGGAAAGAATAGAGAGAACAGATCCACAAAAATATAGTCTTTGACAAAGGAACAAAAGCAATTCGGTGGAGAAAGGATAGCCTTTATAACAAATGGTGTAGAACAAACGGACATCCACAGGCCAAAAATGAACCTAAACATAGAACTTACATTTTTCACAAATATTAATTCAAAATTAATCATAGACTTAAATATAAAATGCAAAACTATAAAACTTCTAGAAGAAAACAGGAAAAATCTACATGACCTTGGATTCAATAATGAGCTTTTAGATACAACAGCAAAAGCATGATCCAAGAGAAAAAATGCATGGTTAGATTTTATTAAAATTAGAATCTTCTGCTCTGCAAAAGTCACTGCTAATAAAATGAAAGAATAAGTCATAGACTGGGAAAAAATATTTGCAAAACACATTTAGTACAGGAGTTGCATCTAAGATATACAAAAGAATTCTTAAAACTCAACAATAAGAAAACAAACGACCCAATTGAGAAATAAAGAAAACATCTGTCACTAAAGATACACAGAGAGCAAAGAAACATTTGAAAAGACGGTCAACATCCTCTATCATTAGGGAAATGCAAATTAAAACAAAAATGAGATAACACCACCTATTTATTTAAATGGCTAAAATTTAAAAAATGGACAATTTCTGGCAGAATGCAGAAAAACAGGTATTCATTCATAGTTGGTGGAATACATCCACTTTGAACAACAGTTTGGCAGTTTCTTACAAAGCTAAACATAGTCTTACCACATAGTCCAGCAATCTCTCACTTAGGTATTTACCCAACTGATTTGAAAACTTACATCCATGCAAAAACCTACACGAGTGTATCTAGCACCTTAATTAAGATTCCTTCAATAAGTGAATGGATAAACAAGCTGTGATACACCCATACAATGGAATACTATTAAGCAGAGAAAAGAATGAACTATGAAGCCATTCAAAAACATAAATGAGTCTTAAATACATGTTGCTAAGTGAAAGAAGCCAGTTGGAAAACATACATACTCTATGATTCTCTATCTATATGTTCTGGGAAAGGCAAAACTATAGAGATGGAAAACACAATAGTGGTTGCCAAAAGCTGGGGAGGAAAAAGGGTTGAACAGGTAAAACAGGATATTTTAGAGTGGTGAAACCATTCTGTACGATACTGTAATGATGGCTACATCAGAAAACAGAACCTTAAAGCACAAAGAGTGAACCTCAATCTAGGCAAATTTAAAAAAATCATTCGGGAGGTCAGGGGACCACAAGACGGAATGTTAAAAAAAAAAAAATTGCCACCAAGTTGATTCCAACTCATGGCAACCCCACGTGTGTCAAATTGTGTTCTATAATTGTTTTTTTTTAATTGTACTGAAATACACACACCAAAACATTTGCCAATACAACTTCTACATTTACAATTCATGACATTTTTCATACTGTACCACCATTATTGCTACCTCTTCCAAAATATTCCACCACATTAACATATGAGAGATATCACTGCTGATGTCAGATGAATCTTGGCTGAAAGCAGAGAATACCAGGAAGATGTTTACCTATGTTTTCTTAACTATGCAAAGGCATTCGACTGTGTGGATCATAACAAATTATGGATAACACTGCAAAGAATGAGAATTCCAGAACTCTTAATTGTGCTCATGTGGAACCTGTACATAGACCAAGAGGCAGTCGTTTGAACAGAACAAGGGGACACTGCGTGGTTTAAAATCAGGAAAGGTGTACGCCAGGGTTGTATCCTTTCACCACAGTTATTCAGTCTGTAAGCTGAGCAAATAATCTGAGAAGCTGGACTTTATGAAGAAGAATGAGGCATCAGGATTGGAGGAAGACTCATTAATAATCTGCATTATGCAGATGACACAACTTTGCTTGCTGAAAGTGAAGAGGACTTGAAGCACTTACTGATGAAGATCAAAGACCACAGCCTTCAGGATGGATTACAACTCAACATAAAGACAACAAAAATCCTCACAACTGGACCAATAAGCAACATCATGATAAATGGAGAAAAGACTGAAGTTGTCAAGGATTTCATTTTACTTGGATCCACAATCAACATCCATGAAAGCAGCAGTCAAGAAATCAAAAGACGCATCGCAGTGGGCAAATCTGCTGCAAAAGATCTCTTTTAAGTGTTAAAAAGCAAAGAGGTCACTTTAAAGACTAAGGTGTGCCTGACCCAAAGCCATGGTGTTTTCAATCTCCTCATATGCATGTGAAAGCTGGATAAGGAAGACCGAAGAAGAATCGATGCATTTGAATTATGATGTTGGTGAAGAATACGGAATATACCATGTACTGCCAGAAGAATGAACAAATCTGTCTTGGGAGAAGTACAGCCAGAATGCTCATCAGAAGTGAGGATGGCGAGACTTCGTCTCATGTACTTTGGACATGTTGTCAGGAGGGATCAGTCCCTGGAGAAGGACATCATGCTTAGTAGGGTAGAGGGTCAGCAGAAAAAGAGGATGACCAA